TGGAACTTTTGTGGCTGGGATTGGCTAGGCTTACTCGGTGCTTCTCTTATGCACAAGTCTATCAATGTCCATAAGAGGAACCTCATAAAGCCTCTCCGCGGAGTACTAGTGTGCAAAAGGGAGGTCTGTATTTCTATAAGACCAGCTTATAACAGGCCCGCCTCGTTACAGGAAGATCTACATCGGCTACTGGATCAGTTTTGGACACGATCCGTGCTCACTTGATAGTGTCAAATCATTGTCGTTAAGCGTATGTTGCATGACCAAGGCAGTAGAATACTTAACGCGAGCATGGCCCTTGGGAAAAAAATGAGTTGGAGTTAAAAGCACATAGCGGAATTTCAACTGACACCGTCTGGTCTACTCCTGATTTGTGCAAGCCTCCCATTTATATTGTTGCAGACCCAGTCACCTGTTGCAAACTATCTGGGTCTTTCAGTGATCTGTTTTTCGGTCAGAAAGGCACAGTCACGCACTCTAGTGGCAAGCACAGGCTCAGGTTCTTCCGTGCTATAGAGGGACCACGCATATGGCTCTGCGGCCAGGTCGGGGTCAGCAGTTGAGATGTGCCACAGAGACAACGGTGAGGAATCATCCACATAATGAGGAGGTGTAGGAGCAGCTGCGACAAGCCACACAGCAGAAGAGACCGACAATAGAATGGCGAGGTTGGGGAGGATCATCGGGTTGTTGATACGGTGTTAGAAGGATGAAGAGGTGTATGTAACGTAGTTTAGCAGTAAGCGGGTAACAGCAGTGAGTGGGTCACATCACGGACCCTGTAATACACGATCATCATGCATCTCTGTTGTACCCATGCCTCCCTCCTCCAATGAGCACCAAGTGCTCTTAGCTCTTGCTGCTATGAAGACCAATCCAGCATTTTCTATCCGAGAGGCTGCAAGGCAGTACAACGTGTCAAACTCAACACTGCAGCGCAGAATGGCTGGTGTCAAAGCACACACAGATACTCATAGTCCGCATGCCAAGTTGACAGCAACTGAGGAGAGGGTGGTCATTGAGTATGTGCTGAGGCTGGAGGAGCAGGGGTTTCCAGTGCGAAAGGGAGATTTGGAAGGGATGGCGGATCTATTGCTTGCAAAGAGAGGAGGATTGAAGGTCGGGGTGGCATGGGCAGACCAGTTCATCTGACGACCAGAGATCAAGACTCGGCTCTCCCGTCCCCTTGACTACCAGAGAGCACGGCAGGAAGATCCACAAGTGTACGCTGCATGGTTCTGGCTTGTGACCAATATGCAATCAAAATATGGTGTTCAGCCAGGCGATTTCTATAATTTCGATGAGACCGGCTTTGCCATGGGCATGGTCAGAGCGACAACGGTTGTGATAAGCAGTGAACGGACAGCCCGGCCAAAGGCTATCCAGCCAGGGAACTGGGAGTGGGCAACAGCTATCTGCTGCATTGCAGCAGATGGGTATGTCCTCCCCCCTTTTCATTGCATGCTTGGGCAGCACCACCTTGCAACATGGTATGCGGACAACAACATCCCGGAGGATTGGGTTGTCAAACCCACCAACAAAGGCTGGACGGACAGCACTACTGGTCTGGAATGGCTTGTGCACTTCAACAAGTGTACTGAGAACCACAGGATTGGTCAATACCACATGCTGGTCCTTGATGGCCATAGGAGCCATGTCACAGTCAAGTTTAACCAGTATTGCAAGGATCACAATATTGTCCCCCTCTGCCTACTGCCACACTCATCACACTATACTCAGCCTCTCAATGTCAGCATCTTTGGGCCTTTGAAGCAGGCATACTGCAACCAGATCTCTTGGCTCTCACAGTGCAGCATCACAAGCATCACAAAGCCCAACTTCTTTGCCACATTCCACACTGCATTGACATTGGCATTCACAGTTCAAAATATTAAGAGTGGATTCCGAGGTGCTGGTCTGGTGCCTCTGAATGCACAGGCAGTCATATCAAAGCTCACATTACACCCACGGATGCCTACACCTCTGCCAGTTGATGAAGAACTGGAGCAGCCATGGGTCTCACAAACACCAAAGACCACAGCAGAGACTGCCTCCCAAGCAACACTCATCAAGAACAGGATTGCCCAGCATCAGGGGAGCTCACCTACCTCAATCTATGCATCGATTAACCAGCTTGCAAAGCATGCCATTGAGCAAGACCATTGCATGACACTCTTGACCGGACAAGTGCAGCTTCTTGAAGAGACAGTTGACCACCTTTCCAGATGTCACACAGGATCAAGAATGTCTGTCTCCAGGACTCTGGAGTACTTACTGGTGCACAAGCCAATGAGCTCTTGGCAGAGCAACATGTTGGTGAGCTGGATGGGCAGGATCAAGGCAGAGGGGAGGCTTGGTTAAATCAAGCAAATCTGGGTGCACAATGCTGTAGACTCTGCAGATTGCCTGGACACAACTCCAGGACATGCCCTGGTGCAGAACAAGTAGATAATGTACAGCAGTCTGATTAATGAGATGTTGCTTGAATGGTGAGATATTGTACATCCATCACAGAGGGTCCACAAACCTGACCTGTTCACTGTCCTGACCTGTTCACTGCTAAACTACATTAGTGGGTGTGGTGTGTGTGCTAATAATCAAAGATTGGGGTTTTGAGGGATGTGTGAAGATCAGCTCAAGGAAAAGTGGTTTTTGCTGCCATCCTTTTATACCCAACCAGGCTGATATCTTCATGGAACAGCTTATCATGTGCTGGTGAGTAAGTGGTATCTATATGTATACAATGCTATTGAATGGTCTTTTGAATGCAGTGTCAATGAATTGCCTCGGCAAGTTTTGTCTTTCATTCAAGAAAGAAGTAATTTGCCCTTGACACCGACTAGGTTTTGAATAGATGCTGTCTATGAGGCAATGCACACATAGAACTTGAGACAATTCAGCACTGGCATATGTCAACAGTGGTGTCTGAGGATAACACAGCATAAATATCATTTGTATCTTTGATTTGTTGCTTGTCCACTGGCAGTGCATCATCCCATCCAAGTCCTC